TACATTACTCGACTTACATGTTGTTAGTTTAGTGGTTAATTATGCGAAGTTTGAACTAAATTATGTTATTTTATGTGTAGGAGCATCAGAAGACAAAGACGAGTGATTAAAGTTGCACAAAAAGAGAATAAAATACGAGAAAAGAGCACAAAAGTAGGAAGTACTCAAGTGTGGCTACAGACCATGCATAGCTAGCTTGGCTGCAGTATTAGCCTGGCCTCGCGAGGTTTGTAGCCCGATGGTCAAAAGTTCGCGAATTAAAAGACTCTGACCCGAATTTGGACTCAAGGACTTCAACCCTAGCCTATAAATACGCCCTAAACATCTAGGGGAGACATTATTGGAGAGATATTATTGGAGAGGCAAGAAGGCTACGTCGACGTAGAACACTGAAAGCAATCATACTAACAAGAGTTTTCTCTTCTATTCTTCCTTAATCTGTATTTTAATGCTTTCAATTATTATCATGATTGTTAGTATGATTATCAGTAGTTAAACTCTTTTATCTAAGGTTTGATGGAAACTTTTAAAGGATGATTTTCTGTTTGCGTTTAATATGATTTTGCCATTGGATTTTTTTTTCTCATTCAACTACGTGATTATCTTAGTTGATTGAAGGGCTCTCAATTGACTGAACCTATTGAGTGTGTATTGCTTGAAAAAGGTACATATTTAGGTAGTTGTTGAGCAATATTACTCCTAACCTATGTTAGGAATCAATACGGAGGATTTAAAGGTGAGATTGAGAATAACAAAACCTTGGTGCGATCTTAGTGAACAGTGAACTAGTGCCAGCAATCGTAATTCGGAAGATTACGTATAGTAAATTGTGGTAGTTTTTCGGAAGAGAATTACGATACCCGAAGTACTCACGATCGGTAGATAATAGTTAGGCGAAATTATAGGAAACGTAGCAGGGAGAATTTCGACAATTGAAAAAATCATAACTCTAGACCTTTCCTTAATCGTGTCCCCAACCTTTAGTATCAGTAGTTATTAATTTACTATTTTAATTAGATAGTTAATTAGTTAGAAATGAAATCTCAATCTTTATAATTTTAGAATTTGTTCAAACTTGTTTTCTTAGTAATAGTAAACAGTTGTAGTTAAACCTTAGTTCTTTGTGGGATTCGACTTCGGATTCTTAGACCGAATGTTATATTTACAGCGACCGTTTAATCCTTTTTATAAGGCATAGTTAGGTGTGATCACTTGCACATAGTAAAAGCATGTAAACATTGCATCGAGAATACTAAAATCAAGAATAATCCTAAATAAGTTATTTTATTTACTGATACCTGTTCAAGAAGACGAAAAAGTGGAATCATCATGATGAATGGAATGCACAAGATGGACCAACTAAACTTTAGCTGATTCACTGAACATAAAATGAGTATACACATCCTAATACGCACATTAATTCCAAGTAGTTCCTCAATGTTAATTGATCTAACAAACGAGAGTGTAATTATAAAATAAAAATCTTCAAGGTTGGTCTTGAACTGTCATACACGTGCAATACTGGAAAAACATTAAAGGTCTAATTACTCAGTCCCATAATTAATTAAGTGATTAAATAAAAGAAAAGCAACAAGCTAGTGATCAAACGGAGTCAAAGCATAAGTTAGTAATTAAACCAACAAATACACAGCAGTAGATCACTTAACAGAAAATGGGCCAAAATATATGCATTGATAATTCGTTTATATCAAGTTGTTGATTATTAAAATAATAGATGCCGACAATTCAGACAAGACGGCTTTGAGGATTATTTTGGGGATTAATTAACCGACCTTTATCAGTGGGTAATCTAATACACAAGCTAAGGGCCGGGGGAGTATATAAAAACAATATAATTAGTACTGTGGAATTATTAAATCAGCAAGTGTGTATAGGACAGTTTGGATATGCATGCAAAGTTAGAAATTATTAATTAATACTAGTACTAGTAAGAGGGAGATATAGAAGACCGACTTTTATAGGAATTAGAAGAATGATAGCCATCATACAGAACGTTAAAAGTCGGCGCTTATGATTCATAAACCTGAGATCAAGCTCATTGACTCTGAATATATCTCTTTCTGGCAAATACGTACACTTCCGCAACATGTTATTTTTTTATATATATTAAAGTTTATATTTAATTTATATATACTAATAATATAAAAAATTATTGCATAAAATGAAATTTTAGCAGGATACTTATTATTTATTAAATTAAATTAACTACAATTATAGTTTAAGTTATTTGATTGAGTAATAAATATTTTTTATACAATTACTGCATAGAAAATTAAACAGTTTATGATTAAATGTGCTGCGACGATTAACTGATCTTCTTGAGTTCCTTAAAAGGTAAGTAGATCAATATCATTCATTAAACTGAATACTGTGCTAGTGCAAAAATAATTGAACAATTGCTCTAATAGTGCATATCGATTTTGTTTGGTTTTCGAGGACGTAGGTAAATGCCATTTACTGTGTGTTTGGTACGAAGAAAAATATTTTCACGAAAATGAGTGAGTTTATCACATATTTTATCTTATTTGATTGGTGGGTGAAAAACTGTTTTCGAAAAATATTTTTTAGTTATTTGTGAGTAAAAAATATTTTTTAGGAATATAATTGTGGGGGTGGGTTGGTAGGGATGGAGAATAAGGTGGGGAAGATCGAAAAAGAGTTTTAGAATATTTTCCCTTTTCTTGATAGAGAAAATATTTTCCTCCAATTTATAAAAAATAAGTTCATGAAAAAAATATTTTGAAAAATATTTTTCTTCCTACCAAACACACCCTAAGTCTTGTCGTTTTTGTAGGATCGGTAACGATAATTTACTATTTTGCTTTTGAGTCGTAGTTGACTTTCAAGGTGAAAATTACTAGTATTAGAAAAGAGTCTCACATAGTAATGTTGGTTTTATCAAATGAAACGAAAAACTTGAATTCAAAACTTATATTAAAAATTCATCTACCTTAATCAGATTTAATTTACAAAATATTTAATAAAAGATATTAGAAACATCTCATTAAGGAGAAAGAAGCTACTTTGAAATAGTGAGGGAGAAGAAAGAGATTGATTTGAGGCGTGATACTATGCAATCTTAAGGAGAAATATGAGCCTCCAGGATATTAATTAACTGATGCATTTTTGTTTCCAAATTTGGTTTACTCTTTGATAAATGTTCAAAGGTGACAAGACCACTTTTTCCAAATTAAGAGATAACTTTTGGAGTATGTCTTTTGAACTTAAATTTGAATAGAAATGTCTTCATCACCAAAGAAGTAAAGTGTGTAATATGCAAACTACCAAGTACCAACATCTCATGAAAGGGTAAAGCTTTTGGACATCAAAATATAATTGTATTGGGAAAATCAAGTTAATATATCGAATTAATTATGTGTTGATATGTCATGACACGTGGATCAGTAAAGGAATGACAGTTGGCGAAGAATAGTTGAAGAGGCACGAGCTTTAGCAGACGCGAGCAAAGATCCAAGAAAACCAGAAGGAATGGGTGCTCGAACCTCTTGATAATTTGAAGAAGCATCGGAAGAATGAACCTAAATAGCAAAAGAATATAGCTACGTATTATTGGTAGTTTATGAGCATTAATTACGAAAAATATTATAGAATCTGTATTGAAACAGTTACGATTGCCAATTATAACGTTACATTAAATGTCATTAATTACCCATGATGACTCCATTATGGAAGGAGAGAAACGTATTACTTAGAAATAGCTATAAAAGGTAAGGAATAAATATTTGTAAGGACACGAAATACTATTGGAATATACTAATTTACTTTACTTTCTATTCAGCTATTATTTACATCAATTAGTCCTATTTCTATTTAATTTTCAGTAACCCGAGTTCTTTTAAAAATAAACTTTGACCGAAATCCTTATTTTTAGTTAAACAAATTGGTTCCGTTACCGGGAATCTGATAATCATCCGCTTTCCAAATCGATTCTTTTATAAAAAATAATCATGTCGAATGTCAACGACAATAACCAACATAGTTTACCACTCCAAGAAGATCCACAACATCAACTTAACAAACAAGATGACAGAACCCCACCTCCTTCGCCACAACATTCTCAGCGGCAATTACGAGAGGGGACTTCAAACAGATCTGAATCAAATGAAAATGACAGAGTTGCAAACGAACAAGCTATCGATGAAGCTCTTAAAAACTTAATTGCTCAACAGGTCAACAATGCTCTCCAGGCTTTTACCAGCCAGTTGTCGGTTGTACCGCCAACACCAACTCCAAATAACAACATTTTGGAAAACCTTCGTTCTGGACTCGTTAATTTAGGAAGTGGTGGAACTCCCAGCAAGTCTCGTGATGGAGAACCAGGTAACACGGTTAATTCTGATTTACAAAATTTAGTATTAACTTTGCAGAAACAGCTCAAGGAGCAAAGCGACCGCATAGAGCAAATACCTGGAGTACCGCCTGTAATCAAGGGAATAGATATGGACAAATATTCGCAACAACCTTGGAAGCCAAGTTCTGCTCCTCTACCAATTCCGAAGAAATTCAAGATGCCCAATATTCCGAAATACGATGGAACAACTGATCCACGAGACCACGTAACTGCATTCACAACCAGTGTAAAAGGCAACGACTTGACCAAACAAGAAATTGAATCAATATTGGGCAAAAAATTCGGAGAAACACTTACTAAAGGAGCATTAACATGGTACTCTCTTTTACCCAAAAATTCTATAGATTCTTTTGTTGAGCTTGCAGTTTCATTTATCAAAGCACACTCGGGAGCTCAAAAAGTTAAAAAAAGAATGGAGGATATTTTCAAAATAAAGCAAGGAGATTCGGAGCTGCTCAGAGAATTCGTAGACAGATTCCAGCGTGAAAGGATGATGTTGCCACGCGTACCTGATAATTGGGTGGCTATGGCGTTTGCCAGTAATCTAAATGAGAAAAGTTCAGAAGCCATTAGATGACTTAAGGAAACTCTACGTGAATTTCTAGCAATGAGTTGGAATGATATTTACAATAGATACAGCAGGAAGCTGCAGATAGAAGAAGATACCATCACTCAGTCTCAAAAAGAGGAGAGGGTAAGTTCAAGATGTGCTGAAACTGGAAAAAGGTCCGGTAAAAATAGGTACGAGCCCTACATGGGACCAGCAGAAAGAGACTCGCGTTCAAAGTAGGATAACTCAAGGTACGATCATAGATCGAGAGATAGAGAATCAGGCTCATCATCAAGGTTTAGAAAAGAGCGAAACACACGAGAAACGTGAGATGATGATAGAAGCTCGAAGGCGAAGTTTGGCGGTTATAATTTCAATGTTAGCACATCAGAGTTAGTAGCAGTATTAAGAAGCATGGGAGATAAGGTACGATGGCCAAAGGAAATGAAATCAAACCCGAATAGGAGAAATCCTGATTTTTGGTCTGAGTTTCATAACGATCATGGTCACAAAACGGCGGATTGTAGATTGCTGCAAGGTGAAGTTGACCATTTGTTAAAGCAAGGATATCTAACCGAATTGTTTAATGAAAAAGGTAAGCAAGCGTATATAAAGTACAGGCAGGAGCCCCCTAAACCCCCTTCACCAAAAAGGACAGTTAATGTCATAAGCAGAGGAGAAGAAATTAATGGCATAACATATACGGCAGCCAAGAATGTTTCAAAAATTACAGGCACACACGGGAAGCGAGTTCAACATGTTTTGGAAGAAGAAAGTATTACATTTGATGATGCAGATGCAGATGGCGTGCTAACCCCACACAACGGCGCGCTGGTAATATATTTACTTGTACATGACACTAATGTGAAATGAGTTTTGATTGATATAGGTAGCTCCGTGAATATCATTTTGCTAAGAGTGGTAAACAAAATGCAAGCTGAAGATAAGCTGATACCCAAGGCGCACACCTTATCTGGTTTTGACAACTCGAGCGTCGTAACAAAAGGGGAGATAGTACTCACCATATTCGTAGAAGGAGTTGTTAAAGACACGAAATTTCAGGTGGTAGAGATTGACATGGCTTATAATATGATTCTCGGTAGACCATGGATTCACGGAATGGATGTTGTGCCATCTACCCTGCATCAAGTTATTAAATTCCCTTCACAACGGGGAATACAACAAATCTGTAGTGATCAGCAAGCAGCTAGGAGCATCAATTCCGTAGCAGATTCAAGCACAAAAACAATGAAAAATAGCAATCACAGAATCCAGTTGAGGATGCTGCAACACAAGCCCCAACTGAACACGAGCGAACAGATGTAGACTCGAGGCCCGATTCCATCCAAGAGCTAGAGGAAAATGAAAACATCAAAATGGCGATTGAGGAATTGGAAGCTATAGTACTATTTGCACCCTGGCCTGAAAGGAAAGTCTACATTGGGGCCAACCTAAGCCACGAAATAAAAGGTAAGTTGACTGAATTTTTGAAAACTAACGTGGATTGTTTTGCCTGGTCCCATCTGATATGACAGGAATACCTCCAGAGTGATGACCCACAAGTTAAATTAAGATCCTTCATATCCACCTATCAAACAAAATAAAAGGAAACAAGGATTTTTCAAAAATCAGGTGATTCAAGGTGAGGTACTAAAACTTTTAAAAAGTGGGTCCATCCGCGAGGTAAAATATCCAAATTGGTTAGCTAATACTATAGTAGTACCTAAAAAGAACGGTAAGTGACGAGTTTGTGTAGATTATACTGATTTAAACAAAGCTTGTCCTAAAGATTCTTTTCCATTACTGCATATAGATCAACTAATTGATGCTACTGTAGGACATGAATTGTTAAGTTTTTTAGATGCATATTAAGGTTATAATCAAATAAAAATGGATCCCATAGAAGAGGAGAAAACTTCATTTATAACAGACAGGGGGACTTATTGTTACAAAGTAATGCCATTTGGTCTCAAGAACGTTGGAGCCACATATAAAGGTTGGTGACCAAAATGTTTCAAGAACATTTAGGAAAAACCATGGAAGTCTATATAAATGATATGCTGGTCAAGTCACAACAAGCAGGGGATCATATCCAACACTTGTCTGATACATTTTAGATTCTCCGTAAATTTAACATGAAGATAAACCCTGAGAAATGTGCATTTGGAGTTTCGTCAGGTAAGTTTTTGGGATTTCTTGTTTCTAACCGTGGCATTGAAGTAAATCCCGCGCAGATTAAAGCTATTGAGGAAATTCCTGATACACTGACAAGTAAAAAAGAAGTACAGAGACTGACGGGAAGAATAGAAGCTTTGGGAAGATTTATTTCCAAATCATCAGAAAAATGATTCAGGTTCTTTTCAGCTCTAAAAAAGCAGGAATAGTTCGAATGGTCTGAGGAATGTCAACAAGCGCTTAAAAATTTGAAAGTATACTTGTCAAATCCACATTTGCTTGCAAAACCAAAAGATGGGGAGAAACTACTCATCTACCTTGCTGTTTCAGAATTAGTGGTGAGTGTTGTGTTAGTTCGTGAAGACCAAGGTAAATAGTCTCCAATTTATTATGTTAGCAAGTCATTATTAGATGATAAAACTCAGTATCCTCATCTAGAAAAACTTGCACTTGCATTAATTATGACATCTAGGAAATTAAGACCTTATTTTTAATGTCATCCCATCTCGGTAGTAACTGCCTACCCCCTACGTAATATATTACATAAACAAGAGTTATCAGATAGATTACCCAAGTGGGCCATAGAGCTAAGTGAATATGACATTACGTATCAACCTAGTACTGCAATAAAGTCGCAAGTGTTAACATATTTTGTGGCAGATTTTAGCCAAGGGATACAACTAGAAGCAGAAAAAGAACTACAGGTATACAACGGGTCTAATCCAGGAACTTGGACTTTATTTACTAATGGTTCATCGAATGTGAAAAGGGCAGGTGTATGTATTGTTTTGGTACCACCTATGGGAGAAACTATACGACAAGCCATAAAATGTCACCCTATTACTAATAATAAGGCAGAGTATGAAGCTATGATTGCGGGTTTAGAACTGGCACGAGAGTTTGGCATAGAACAGGTCGTAATCAAAAGCAATTCACAGCTCATACTTAACCAAATGCTGGGGACTTATACAGCTAGAGAGGCAGGAATGCAGCAATACCTGGAAAAGGCACATGATTTGGTTAGGCAATTCCAAACCTGGAAAGTCATGCAGATACCAAGAGAGGAAAATTTCGAGGCAAACGCCCTAGCTAATCTTGCATCTGCTACAGAAGTAACAAATGACGAAAATGCTTCTGTAATTCATTTATTTTATTCAGTACTTGATCAAGATAAAAACGAGCTAAATTTCAATAATTTAACTTGGGATTGGAGGAACGAGATTGTCACTTTTTTGCAATATGGAATTTTACCCGTAGATAAGAAAAAGGCTCAAGCACTCCGCAAAAAAGCTGCTCGATACTGTTTAAAGCAAGACAATCTTTATCATAAAATGATCGGTGGTCCTCTAGCAAGATGCCTTGGACCTTCTCAAACATAGTATGTGATGAGAGAAATACACGAAGGACATTGTGGAAATCACGTGGGAGGAAGATCTTTAGTAAAAACCATGATTAGAGTCGGCTATTATTGGCCAAAAATGGAAGAAGACGCGGAAAGTTTTGTAGCTAAATGTGACAAGTGCCAAAGATACGGTAACAACATGCATCGACCTGCTGAATTATTGTCACACCTCCTTTCTACACACCCGAGGGTATATAAGGGATTTTTTTCAATTAAAGTGATATTAATCGAAATGGGATTATTTATTTAATTTATCTAAGTCGCCACTTGGAATAGTTTGTTTTGGTGTCCCAAGTCACCAGTTTATTTTAAATAATCCCAATTTGAGGAAATTTCGACTTTATTATAAAAGTTTGTGAACCAGAAATTCTAGATAAGAAATTCTATTAACCCGGGAGAAGGTGTTAGGCATTCCCGGGTTTCGTGATTCTAGCACGGTAGCTTAGCGATTTATACTTGGCTCAAATTGTTTAATTACTCATTTTAAGGCATACGTGCATTTAAATTTTAACCGCTTTTAATCACTTGATTTTTTCGTAATTAAAGAATTGAGTTACGCGTGCGTATACTCTTTTCTTTTGGTGCGTCAAAAATCGTGTCACGCGAACGTGTCCACAATTAATAATGCTTCGTTTATTTTATTAAGAAAAGTTTGGTTGAAGTTGTGTGAACGCATCCCTCGAGTTACTTTTTAGAATTAAAATCGCAATTATGTTACGCGAACGTATACATAACCACAATAGTAGTCTAAGTCGAGCCTATAAAAAACTACGAGTGTTTAAGATAGTTTAATACTAGGTTAATAACAATATGAGAGCCATAGGTGATTTAATTAGAATGGCACACCTCGATCCATTTTTAGGAATTATATCTAACTATTATAATCTAAGGATGTTCTTATATGACTATTAGTTGAAAGAAAAACAAGTTGGTGTACATGCTGGGCCTTTAATTATTTGGAGGAGCTAGACCAGCAACGAACCCGAATTAATATCTGATTATGGGGAGCGAAATGTTGGGACTACTTGGGCTCGAAATTGAGCCCAAAAAGGCATGGATCTTGAAGACCTCGTCAGGCTTAATATGGTCAGGGTTGTTTCGTTTTGGCTGATGCCCAGCCCAACAATCCCATACAAATTGCAATTAATTAAATGTGAGACCTGATTAAAAGAAACAAACCGAGGTTTAACTCTGTTGGGCTTGAAATTGAGCCCAAAAATAGAAGAAGACCAGATCTGGTCACTCTGGACTCACAGTAGGCGGGCCAGCTTATGGGGGCCAAAATTAAGCCCAACATATTAATAGGAAGGCCTCTAACATAACAAGGCCATGGCTGAAACCCACACCTCTTAATTCACAAATAATAACAAGAAAACTATATAAAATCCTGGAAAACTAAACATGCATGAACAATCAGATTATTGACTTGTAATTCATTTGACATGCCCTTAATACTGAACCATAGGCTTAAAACATGCCTTAACCTACTCAGCGGCTATATTGATATCAAATACATAATCTACTTAGCAATGTCAAAATTCAAAACTATTTAGTTGAAGGGACAGTGCATCTTTCAAACATGGGTAAGATACCAACTAATATCCTCAAATGAAAAATCTAATTAGAGTTGTCATAAATAATACATAGGAAGATGAACTAACTTAAGCACTCATATGTGAGATTCCCAACTAAGAAAAGAAATTGTTGACCATCATGCAAATCAGAAATACTTAAACAAAAATAACAAACAAAGAATATCCTAAAATACTAAGCTACTTGAAAGAGAATCAGACGTAAATGAAAACTGGAGCTTAAACATTTGAGCATCAAACTTGCATTCAGCATTTACACATCATCTTTAAGGTTACAAGTATCATTATTCACTTCCATTCCAAGGATTCGAAGGTGTACCTGGATATTGAAACAAAGCAAAAAGGGATGAGAAGTTCAGCAAGCAAAGAAGTAGGAGTAAATCAGCAGCTCCCAAACAGCAATAATCAGCTTCTTAGACCAATTTTAAACCCAGAAAAACAGAAGTCCTTAGAAAGCTTTGAGGTTCTTACTAACAAAGAAAAACCAAAAAACAATTCCAAACCATTTTTTCCAAATAATGCAGAAACTTTGAGTATTTTTTAGGGTCTGAATTTTTGATGTTTTTCAGAACTTTTTTAGGCAGAAGATGATGCTCTGTGTGTGTCTGTGTGTGAGAGAATATTTTTCTTTTATAGAGTGTACAAAAAGGCATCAAAAAAGCATATTCTAACCTAAAATTCTAAACTTTGAGTATTTCTTAGGCTTTGAATTTCTGATGTTTTTCAAAACTTTTTTAGGCAGAAGATGATGTTGAATATGTGTGTGCGTGTGAGGGAATATTTTTCTTTTATAGAGTGTACAAAAAGGCATCAAAAAAACATATTCTAACCTAAAATTCTGAACTTTCATGATAGTACAACATCTTTTACAGCTGTATGTCATTTTCCTTATCCAATACTAGCATTTTTATGCTAAGGGTGGGGACAGCTGTGCAAAGTCTAGAACATTATGATATTAGCCTATGTAAAACTCCATTTTTACCCTTTTAGTTACTGACTATTTCAGCTTTGTCCTATGTTTCTTGTATTTTAATAAGCCCCACAAGTTCTGATGATTTACAAACTAGGAAAAACCAAAACAAAAGTCTATCAACAAATCAGAAAAATGCAAATTGAAAAATGTCAACAAAAACAAAAATTGAAGAGATGATGCAATT